ACTGTTCCTGGGAAGTTAGAGAATGTGAGATCTCATTCCAAAGGAAGAAACTGAATGTGTGCAGTCTAGACTAACAGTAGAGATACTGGATTCTTCCCCCAGTGTGAAATGAATGCCTGATTTTCTCAACTGCAGGGATAACTTCATACCACCCGGAGATGAAGCAGATTCACAACAGTGCAACAGAAACTGTTGCATTGCTGGAAAGCAATGAGTCAGCAGGAAAAAATTACTGAATTTAAAATGTTACTAACATTTTATACCAGTAGAATGCTTGGATTTCTTTTTCTCCACACATCCATCAATGATGGTCTTCAACTTCTAACACACAAAATGTAAAATGCACTGAACTTTCATTCACAGCAGTCATACAGCTGCTTCAGTAGCACCTGATGATAACCTCAAAACACATTTTCTTATCACAACAGCGAAAATTCACTATTTATGGTGAAGGACTAGAAAGTACTGAAGGGTTAGTTTTGGATTAAAAAACCCCACTCGACTCTTGTTTAGTTTGTTTCTTGTAGATCTTCGATAGAGTACAACTTTCATCTTTAACTAGATTATCTTAATTAAAGCTTTTTTACATACGTGACTTTACAGCTGTCACCATGTCTTCTGTACACTTAATAAACTACATGGAAACTAAGGATAATGAACAAAGGATTTTTACAATCTAACCTAGACAGGTCTGCAGGATCAAATGCCATTATCAAAGCCATCTCTACCAGATTTCCTTGGACAATCAGCTGAAGCAGAAAACTTCCATCTGCCTTGTCATACAGGGACTGTCTTACCTTAGCACATACAGACCACTAACAATTCAATTTCAACTTGAGCTAGATGATAAAGGTTATCTGTTCTAAGGTTATGATAGTTCAAGTATATCTTGATCCTATTTGTTAGTTTCAGACTGCTGCCAAGTTAATTGTTTTTTCCTTTCTTGCTTCTTCTGATTTAATATAAACAAAGTCTGTGTGGGCTTTGATAAGAAGTCCAAGAAATAACCAGTTTTACATTTCACACGCCTATTAGAAGATGCACTGTACATATAAAAGCAGGTCCTACAACAAAGGTAGTTTGCCTAAACTTCCTCAAGCATAAGGCAGGAATGACCCTTTAGCAACTATCACTGGAGAGCAAACATTAATCCTCTTCCTTGTTCTACACAGATGCTGGCAAACCAGTGCAATCTGAAATCCAGTTTCCCAAAATACAGTTACGATTGGTGACAGTACTATTTTTTTCTGCCTTCAAGTGTAAAGCCAGTACATACATACATTATATATGTATTTAATACAAGCACCTCTAGAAAACTTTTTCCCTTTTTTTTTTTAAGGACATTATGTCATTCTAAGGGGTAAACTAAGAAAAACAGTACATTAATTAACCCCACATAACATTAAGATTGACTGTATCTATAGCAGTCTGAGAAAGAAAACCTAAAGTCTTTTATCAGAACGTCCTTGTCCTGGTAATTCAAGTATGCTACTGTCATATTTAACATTCTGTAGGTTACACATACACCTGCCTCTAAACAAAGCTTATGGGTTTGTTGTTTCGTGTTGTGTTTTTAAAATACAAAAACTGTTGGCAAATTTTTGTAGCTGAAGCGCAGAAATACTAGAAGCACAACTATTCAGAACTCGGTGTCAGACACTGCCTTATTCTACTTTTACCGTTGAGTTACAACTTCAAATTTACATATTGTATAAAGCAGAATACTAAATAAATGTCCCTACAGGGCACTGTAACAGTATTCACACTTTGTAGAAATGTTTTGTATATGTGAAGTACCTGTACTGATTCAGGTTTTAACACATCTTGCTTTACACTTTCATGGATTTTTGTGGTGTTTTTTTGTTTTGTTCCTCCCTTTTCCTTGCAGCCATTTCACTTAAGGCTGTAAATCTGATCGATCTAAAGACTTAGTCTTGTCAGATTACATACCTAGATAGCCAAGTCCACAGAAGGAATATTGAAGGGGCAGCTTAATTAACTGAAACACAAAATTATTTTAAAAGCTAGACTGATGCTGCCACTGATTTAATAACTTGGGCATTCTGTTGATCACCTGTTTTCAGATCTGTTTGAGAAGTTTCTAGCAGCAGACTTGGAACTCACATTTGAGAAGGGAAATAATACACTTGAAAGGAAATAATACACTTGAAACTCACTTGAGTATTTATATATGTGTGTATTTCTCAGGCTACTGAAGAAGAGTGACAATTTTACTCTCAAAGATAAATTCTTGCTGCACTTTCTAGCATGGTCGAGTAAAAATTGAGGTTTATCACAGACACACTATGCTAATGTGTTTCTTGTGCACTAATGTATCATCAACATTTTGTACAACTGTTCATACTGACGCTATGAGTGGGTACTTACACTGAAATACACCTTGTATAAAAAGGCAACACTAAAGTAGTAACCAGTTTATAAAAAATGGGGCTCCAAGATTTCAGGTGTGCAGAGCTGTAAGTTTACTTCAGAATAAAACACAAGACATAGGGGAGAATCAAAACTTTTGGAGTTGTACTTGACCATATATTTGGACAAAGCAGAATTACACTGCATATAACAAACAGTAAAATTTCTTAAAAGTTGTTACAAATATTTTACTTCCTACCTGTACGATCATTAACATAGTTTACTATACCAAGATTTTTTTCTAAAGGCTTAAAACAAAAACAATCCCTCTAAACTACTTTCCAACAGTAAAATCTAAGTAGAATGCTTACATTCATTTGACAACAAAAAAACATATTAAAAATGTTGTGTGGGTGGTGCAAGAGCTTTCAGTTATAACTTTCTTCCAGCGCTATTCCTGTGGAAAGAAAGAAAACAGTCTTGTTGTAAACTGGTAATAACCAAACTCCAAAGCCATTTAATGTGATATCCCACCCCACCAGACACACCCAATTTCTTGAGATACTGCAAGAAAACCTGTTTAATTTGTAACTCACTACAACCACTTACCTTTTCCTCTTTGCGTCTGTCCTTGTCTTCATTATTTTCAATCGTTTCTTCTTCATCTTCCACAATCCCATCCCCTTGATACTTGTCATGTGTCCACTTCGGACTGCTACCTGACTTCTTGAAGTTGAAACGCCCTCTGCCACGCTGAAAAGTACCACGGCCTCTTCCTCGTTTGGCCCAATAATCCACACCATCATCTCTGTCATCATGCTGCAATACCAGACAAAGAATAAGGTTAGAACACCTCTTAGAAGTACCCCTTAAATGTTGGTACTTCAGGTCAACTTTATACTACACATAGAAAAAAAAACACACTACACAATTAAGAGAACTAAGTTAGATCACAATCTATAGAATATACTATGAATTATATCCTTACAATTCATGATGCTGTAACTAAAACCACAGCAATAAAATTGTTTTAAGAGCTCTTATTAACTGTGGGTCTACTGAGACATTTGCGAGTAAAAATAAGTTGTCACTTATCTTCAGTTAGAAAAACATTTTGAGAGAACAAAGAAGCTCTAGGAATGTGCTAGTATTTCATTTTTTTAAAATTTTAATGCAGAGATACAGCTCCTTATACTTATTAAGGAAAGGTAACTGAAGAGAGTTTTCAGAAACCCTGCTTCACTCGCACAACATAGGGCAAATGATGTTTAAACTGTTTAAATCTGTCATTAACAAACAACCACTGAGTTTTTCTGGTTAGTAAGCTTTTTAAAGTTTACTATCTTACTACCAAATACAGCCTTACATAAGGTAAGTCTTCTGACGACCATTCCATGCACTGCATGAACACTACAGACAATTATTTAGTATAAAAAGTTTTATATTTAGAAGAGTGAGGTACACTTGCTTCAACATCTAGTTTTACTTGTGATTTGGAAAGAAATCTGAACTATTAAACACATACCACACCTATATAAAGCAATTTATTAATAATTATATGTTGTAAGAATAGCTTATGGGTGACTTTTTATTTAAACTAAAAAACACTTTTAGAGATGAGAAGAAACACTGGAGTTAGTTATTTGCTCTAGCTATCATAGAACTTCTTAATGACTAGATTTATCACATCTCCTTCTACGTTTATAGGTCAGAAAAGTTTATATATGTGTGGGAAGACAAGAAGGGAACTCCTTGTACAAGCAACCAAATTGAGATTGCGTTGTTTCTTGGATTAACTGTTAACCTATTTGTGACAAATTATGATGCCATACAAGAAGGTCCAATCTTCACCACTTAACATTTTTCAATGGTGAAACAACATCCTTAGAAGTTTGTATTAAGGAAACCAAGTAGAACAGACACTACTTATTCAGTGTACTACATTAGTTACTGGGTGGTTACATCCTCAGTCCTCCTTTCATAAACCAGATGGGAAAGCTATCAGAACTAGGGAGACATTCTTATGACTATCACCCTACTCAAGTAAGAACAGAAGGACTGCTAACAACAGTCAGCCTACATGCAT